TGTGTGACTCTTCCTACTCTGTCTACCTTTACCCTGTCATTCCTGTTAACAGTGTTCCTGGTAATGGTATTTCTTTCCTTTTTTCTTCCTTTGTTTTGCAGGGAAGGTGGGCTACTGAAGGGTTTTTCTTGATTATTAAAGTAACATTCTTATTGCACAAAAATCTAATATCATGTACACATATTAGGTAAAAATTGAGCAGCTCCTACAATTCTGCAGTCCCTCCTTCTGCACCCTAAAACTGCTACTGGCAACTACTATGCATCTTTAATATATGCAGAACTGGTGATTTTAAATGCTGCTGGGAATTCTGCCTCATTTGCTTCCAAAACTTCTATTTATCTTTATGAAAGAAAACTCAAACATCATCCAGGTGAAGCTGCCCTGACCCACCCAAGCCATGCTGGCTCTTTCCTCACGAAAAGCAATTTGTACACATTCCATTTAGAGAACTCAGCAATTTTATTGCGATTTCTGAATCAAATGTCTCTCCCACTTCAAGGACTTGAAATGCCACATCCTTCTCCCACTTGAGACAAGGGATGTGGAACATGGACATTTGTCAACACATATCAATGTCAATACATTGCATGGATGAGGGAAAGAGCATACAAATACAGCATTTTTCAAGGAGGTAGGCTTTCAAGCTCTATAATAACCACAATCAAGATGCTCACACTTAAATTTCCTGGGAAAGATATTTCTTGTATGACCCACATTTCAACAACCAGGTAATACTGTTCCTTCAAATTTCATTTCTTGGGGGCTGGAAACAAAACATTCTACTTCACATAAAATGATAAAGTTGGAGGAATTTTGGAATGGATGATGGTTTATTTTTCAAGTGCCAAGTGGACATTTTGAAGAATAGCACTTTTGGCCACAGGCTTTGTCCACTGACACCAGAACATTCCAAGAAATGACATTTCAAATAAACAGTTTCACATCCAGTAAACCACAAACACAAAAAAGTATTCAACAGCACTCCACAGCAAATAGCCTCCTGTTGACAGTTGCTCAGGAGTGACTGATTATACGTAAAGAGCACAAATATCTCATTTGATTAATTCAGTATAATTTAAGCTGATGGCTTGGACAAAAGAATGAATCGATAGGAGTTGTAAAAGAGGAGGATAGAGAAGATAACCAGAAGGACAAAACTTATAAAAGATTCTGAAATATCAGAGAGTCCCACTGGACCAACACTTCAAATTAACAAGCCACTGAGGGACTCTGACATGCATGCTGCATGACAGATCATCCAAGAAACTGCATCCAAGAGGAGTCTCTTCTTGGAAAAGGAGATTGCTACAGAGCTTTCATATTTCACCAATTAAACAGCTGGGTATCATGCAATTAAGTAATATGATTATGAACCCATTTCTTGGTTTCAAGCCCAAGGCCTTATTTCTTGTTCACATATGTCAGCAGTTTTTATTCAAAGCTCACTTGTCACATGTTGGACCCAGATCCTCATATTATAATACATAATGCCGAGACTGCAGCTCAGAGGTCAAGTACTTGCCCAGTGTGCACAAGGCTCTGGGTTCAATCCCCAGCACTGCGAAAAGAATCTCAAAATAGACACAAATCCACAATCAATTTTAAAATTAAAGAGTAAGACACAGTGGCTGTGACTGCAGGAAGGAAGTGAGAAGTGGGTATGGGACTAAAGTTAAGTTAAATAACTTAAGCAGAATATAGATACAGGAAGTGACGACGAGAAATTTAAGACTCCAGAAAATTTAGTATGAAAGTAGAAAAAAGTAGAGGGATCATTAGGTTTCCATCATATAAGAGATGATATATCAGGGACACTTTCCTTTTACAGGAAAGAATGTTTAGGGAGACTACAGCAGCTGGCCCTAGAGTTCCATTACTATAATTATCATGTTAAGAGGTAAAGTAATTGCTAATGTGGGTGTTAGTAAAAAAAAAGAATTGCCACCCTCTCTTATATTAAAATGATTGTTTCAGAGTCATGCTTATTAAATCACAAAAGTTAATATTTATTGAGAATTTGGATTGCATCAGGCCCTGTTCTACATATAGTACATAAAGAGTTCACCTAGTTTCCAAAGCAAACCTGTGGAGAGAAATCACTGATATCCTCATTTCCTAGGTAAGGCAACTGAGATCCAAGAGGCAAAATAATTTGCCCAAGAAGACATAACTAGGAAGCTGGAAAACTGAGAGATGAGATCAGGCAGTCTGCCTCCAGAGTTCCTGTGTGTTTTACAGCAGTGTACCATGCTGTGTCCTAACAGTTATTCAAACAAAATACTAGTATTTATGTGAGTTGTAGTCATATATTTACATGCTTTTCAAAAATCAGTGATTTTAGCTCTGAATTGAAAGCAGGGATCAATAGCTAACAAAAGCAAGTGAAGTCAGTGTACTTTCAGAACTGTGGGAAAGATACTCACCTCACCTTCACATGGTGTTTGACATTCACCAGTGCAATTGAATTGAACTCAATTAACAGTGATTTAGGATTCCATGCTGAGTATCAGAGCATGGAGATTCAGAGCCTTGAGAAGGCGAAATTTTATTTCAACTCAGAGCAAATAAAATACTTCAAAAGTTTTAAATTAAATAGAGGAGAATAAAATGAAGTCCACAGAGTTCAAATGACCAACCTGAGACCAAAAATGTTATCTGCAGCACAGAGGAGCCTAAAATCAAATTCAGACGTGCCTAGTTTCTCTTTTCACTCAGCCACTTTGCTTTCAATCAAGCTGGTTGAATGCCCTGGAATAAAATTAATTTACAGAATACTGATTGATCTGTGCTCTATGTGGAGGAAAAATGTGTGACTTTTGCTTGCTCTACTCTAGAACCCATTTCATTCTAGGATGATGTGAGGGAAGAAAGAACAGAGCCAGCGAATATTTTTAAGAAAAGGGGAGGAGGAGGGAATTCGGTCTCCTGGATCTTCTCTGAAGGAATGTGGGGTTTTTTGGTTTTATTTTGCTGGAAATTTTCTCTTTCAAACTTTACGCAATTCTAAAAGTAGATGCTGAAGCTATGTCTATGTTAATAACCTATGGTGCAGTGTGATCAAAACATACAATAAATGTTAAATTTTTTAAATAGTCATTAGCTCCCATCAGAGTACTTACTCCCCCTCTTTTGCATACACTTATCTCATCACTCTTGACACTTTTTGAAGCAGCTCTGAAATTCCTCTTTTGTATCTTTAGTTGCACTGTCAGGGCTACTTTGATGTCCTGAACTGATTTGAAATATATACCTTTCATCATTCTTTTGACCCTGGGTAAGAGCCAGAAGTCTCATGGTACCAGATCCACCGCTAAGATGAATGAAGATGCACTATAATCTTTTTATGAGCCTGCCTTTCTGTTGGATGGCACTCACAGCAGCATTCAACATATTTTCAATCACACCTTCTAAAGCCATGAAAGAAGACTTCCATAAGTGCTTCAGAAAGCGTAAGAATGACAAGATAAGCGAGTTCAAAGGGAGAGGGACTAATGGCAATATGTCTTTTAGTATAATACAGTTTTAGTTTAAACATACACTGCATTTTGTGACCAGCTCTTACATGTGTGTAGCTGAGTGAGTAGATCCCCAACTGTATTCTAAGGGTTTGAAGAATAAAGGAGAACTCTAAACCTCTCTGTAGGCCCGGCTTTATAAAGGGCTCTACAAAATGTTTAGGAAGCGCCCAGTGAATCATATCTTTTTTGTTATATATGATTAGGATGATAAATGTGTAAGAATTTGCAATGTAAGATTTCCAACTAGTTTTTTTTAATGATGGTATATTCAAATTACTAGAAATTTTACTCAAACTAGGGCAACTACCCCACTGTCCCCACCAAAGGGCACCTGCTAGTGTCAAGAGACATTTTGGTTATTACAACTTGAGCAGAGTAGGTATTGTGGTCATCTAGTGGGTAGAAGTCAGACATAATATGAAATGTTCTACCATAGATAGGACAGATACCACAATAGCACAGTGTCTCATCTTAAGTGTCATAATGCCAAGTTAGAGAAACACTAGCTATTTAGAAATTGAAAGAAGACTGCTGTCCCATTCTCCATTTTAAAACAAAAGTAAGGTACAAATTAAAACAGTACACCAAAAATTCATCCAAAATCATCTACTGTAAAGAAGATCAACACTTTTTAATAGACTACAAAAGTTCACTAGATGTGGTAGGAAGAGCATGACTTTAGACCTGTATATATTAAAACAAGCAGTGGGATGCTCTGATATAGATTTCATCTGAAACTGAGGTTATTTCACAGTTACTGTCTGAGACACTTTGTGCGGAGGCACTTCAAGTCACCTCTGGTCTGACACAGACATAGAATGCTGGCTTCAACTGTTTCATTATTTCTAACCACAATCAAATTCACCATGTGACCAGCACACAAAGAGGAAATGGATGTGTTTTGCTTGCAAATATGTTCACCAAAATAAGCTGCTTTTTAAGTCAGTCATTCTTTTTTATATATGTCCATTCTGCCCACATCTATGTTTAACTGAAAATTCCAATGTCTCAGTCTGAATTTCTCCTGTAGCTATGTGGGAATAATTCTTCCATTTCTAAGTCACTCTTTTTAATTTCTGTTATGGAGATATGAGAGGCCTTTCCCATTATCCTAACAGCTTGATGGCATTTTAAAGTGAGTAAGAATAAGGGAAAGGAAGTAGGGGGATATGCTGATTTTTATTTGCATTTGGTCTTGGTTTCCTTACAGAGTCTGTAGCTGATGTGGTTACACTTGCTTCGATTTTACTTGCTTGTTCATTTTCCCCAGTGGCTGATAATAGTATCTGATACTTTGGATGTTTGCTGTACATTTGAACAAAAAATTCTTTCTTTAAGGGATAAATTAGTTCTTTTCTGGAAATCAACTGACAAAACATACATAAACCTCAGGAGGATCTTTGTGACTGTTGCGTATTGAGTTAGACATGTCACTGCTAAGATCTTCACACCTTGGCTAATGATTTTCTAAATATTTACCAAGATCTTTAATAAGCGAGAGTGCTTCCCATGATATAAATGCTCCACCACCGTCATCTATGGCACCCTGCCCGACATCCCAGCTGTCCAGATGTCCACTGACCAGCACAACCTAGAACAAATAATAAAAAGCAGGAAAAAGTAAGCAAAAATGACACCAAAAAGGAAGAATTCACAGGCATTCCAAATACAAAAATGAAACTTTTACATTTGCTTTTCTATTTTTATGTTTTAAAAGAAATAGGCAGTCACTACTGAAAAACTCAATACAGAGGCATTATAAAAGGCTGTTCTAATTGTAATAAAAGTTCTCACCTTGAACCACTCTTTATTAATATAATTTTGAGTATAAAAGAAATCTGGTAATCTGAGCAACATAGTTAAAGATAACAACATGTAATATAACAACCACTGTTAATTTCAATCATTTTGTTTTGAAACCCTATATGACCTTTAATGTTTTGCTTTGTTTTGTTTATCTCTGTGATGTTGGTATGTTGCTATGGTTCATTTTTTCTTTTTCTACTTTCTTTAAAATAAAAAAAGAAATTGGTTTATTACCGACAGATGTTTGATAACTTTACTATATAGATTTAAATCAAAATGACATAAAAATGGAGCCTAAAACTTTAACCATATCCTCAACAGTCTTGAATTCTAGAGAACACATCATAAACCTGTGAAAGTGAATTCAAATGAAAAATGAACATTTATTTTTTAGAAGAGGATCGTGATTTGTAATTGCTAAGTTGTGGAAGCAACCCAAATGTCCATCCACTGAGGAATAGACAAAAAAATTGTGATATTTTTATGTAATGGAATATTACTCAGCTATAAAGAAAGATAAACTCAAGGCTTTTACAGGTAAATGGTCACAACTAGAGACCATACTCATAAGTGAAATAAACTAGACCTCCATGTGTAAGCACCATACTGTTTCACTAGTGTAAGAACCTGAAGGAGTGAATAAAAATTAGGAGGTATGACAGACATTGTGAAACAAAAGGAAAATGTTCAAAAGTAAAGAACAACTGAGGTGAGGGAAAAAAGAGAAGAAAGAAGAGGAAATTATGCATGTATGTATATACAGGATAGCTAACATACTGGTACTACTAACTTCTATCACTTTATTGAAAGGAACAGTTAATGATTACTTATTTGATCAATCTTGCATGTCTATATTTGTTCTCCTGAGAAACCACTTCGAAGATACAAGTACATATTACAACAACCATTGTTAATTTCCTACCACTTTGTCAGTAACTCTGTATTGCTTGTATTGTTCTTATGCTATTATGTAAATGGATATCTGCTTGTTAATATGTTTTTCCTTCTTTTACTTTTAAAATAAATTTTAAAATATATAAAAAATGATTGTGTTTTGCACATTATAAATAACTTTGGAGTTGAATAAATAAAGTGTTGGATTTAAAAACTAGGTCTAATTGAACAGAAAAACTTTGAAGAGTGTTTCAATTTCTATGTGTTAAATAAATCTAAAGATAACATTATAAATTTTAAATCATCAAAGTTTTAAAATTGTCTTTCAAGAAACATGAGTAATTTTCTCTAGGATTACAGAAAAAATATTTTACCACAACTGAGTTTCAGAGACACATTTAAACAAGTTAAAAACCAAGGAAAATGATGCTAGGTCAATAGCGTATTCACATGAAAAATATATCTTGATCTCTACACTTCATATAATATCTCAAAGACTGAGTAGGATTGTAGACCCAAATAAAGATTCTAGAGAACTGCACAGGACACTTTTATCATCTCAGAGTAGTCATTTATAAAACTAGACATAACAACTATTTAAAAAGTAACAAATTAGACTTTGTTCATCAAAAGATCCCATTTAGGGAATGAAAAGACAGTTTGCTAGGGGGGGAAATATTTCCATGTATAAAAAAGGACTCAGATGTAGGTTATAATAAAAATTCCTGTAAAATAACAGCAAAAAATGTCAACTGACAGAAAAATGGGCAAAAGACAAACAGAGAATTCACCACCTCCTAAGAAAACAGATCTGCAAATTGCTAGCAATCACACAAAAAGGTATAGGAATAAGCTTATTATCATCAAGGAAATATACATTAAGCACATACAGTAATAGCTACAAGATGAAAAAATGGCAAAGACAAAAAGTGACAACAACTGGTGAGGAAGTGGAGAGACTGGAGCTCTTGCTCATTGCTGGCATGAGAGTCAGTACATTCAACCAGCCTGGAAAACTGTCTTACCTACTAACGAGAATATGCACACATCTAGGGCTCTACTCCTACACCAAACTATGAAGTATGTCCAGCAAGAACAGGGCTTACGTGTGTGTACACTTTCACCCAAAGAGATATATTAGAATGTTCACAACAGAATATTAATAATAATCCCTCTCCCCTCCAAAGTGAAATTATTCAGATCTGTTGACAACACAATGAATAAACTATTCATCAATGGAACACTTCACAGCAGTAAGAATGCACAAACATAATGCAAGATAAATTTGGGTAAACCCCATAAACATAATGAAGAATGAAAGAAACCAGATATATGATATGTTGTGGTTAATTCCATTCACATAAAGTATAAAACCCAATACGACAGGAAAAGCTTCCTCTTGGTGAGGAGGGCTAGGGTCAGGAAAGAGGCATGAGGAAAATTTCTAGGATGCCAGTCAGACCACTCCCTGGCATGGGTGTGGGTGAAGCAGGTGTGCTTAGCTTGTAAAAGTTTATCTTATTTTACACTTATCATTTGTGCTCTTTCTTTGAGAATATTACACTTCAATAAAATGATCAACAGATTGATAGCTATACACAGCGCACAGCATGCAAACCAAAGTTGAATCAATCTTCTTGATAGTTAAAATAAAAATTCCACATTACTTTGGGAAAACAGGGGTTTGGGCTAGAATGACTCCCTGCACTGACTGGTTCACTAAGCAGCTGCAGGATCTCCCGCTGACTTACAAGCAGCCCCCGACTAGGATGACTTCACTGTAGTCACAAACAAGAAGAATGCCCCAGACTAACAAATGGCCCAGTAATGAACCCAAACGGATCTTTTCTAAGGCGGAGGGAAAAAAACACAGAGAATAAAGAAAAATACATGTTGCAACAGCAGGAACTTTTCTGATTTAGAAAGTCATGCCGTCCCATCTGAAATAAAATTAGTCAACATTTTCACCACCCTTAAAATCATTTTCTCAAAAAGGTTGTAGTGGATTAAAAATGTCAAAATGTGCTTTAATGAACTTTTCCTCAGTGGATAAGAGTATCTAAATCAAAGCAGCTATTATTTTATCTTTCACAGTATCTGAGGTTGCATTCTGCTCATACTTCTTTATGTTTTATTAAGGCCTCCAGGGTCAGGGGGATAGCTCAGTGGCACAGTGCCTGCCGGCAAGTGCAAGGTTCTGAGTTCAATTCCTGGTACAAAAAAAATCCTAAATGCCTCCATTCTCTGAACCAGAATTGTTACTTAGGCTAGTAGTTAGAAGATAGGAAAGATGGTTTTGAATGACAGCAAACTAAATAAGATCCCATAGGAGAAGATGTTTGGCACAATGCTCTAGGAGAATAATTTGATATCATTTAGATTATGAGACTTTTTAAAATGTTTTTCATTGAAAGAGTAAATAAAATCCTAAAGGTACAATAGCTACTGTGAAAGGGAAAGAAACTGCTCAAAAGGAAAGAACAACTGAGATGAGGGAAAAGAGAAAAGAAAGAAGAAAGGGAAAAAAAATATATATATATATGTACAAAAGACAGCTAAGACAATTGTACTACTAATTTTTATTGGTTTACTGAAAGGAACAGTTAATGTTTAATTATTTTAGCAGTTTTACATGCCTACATCTGGTTATCTGAGTAATCAATTTGAAGATAACTATGTAATACAACAACCATTCTAATTTCTTTTCACCTTGATTGAAATTCTGTATCTTTTTTATTGTTTTTGCACTGTTTTGTTTATGTCTTTGTGTTTGCTCATTTGTTTTTGTTCTTTTCTCTTTAAAATAAAAAAAGCAGAAAAGATGTTGAAATCAGAAAAAGTATTGGGGGAGTATAATAAGATAGCTGTATTTTTGTAGTTATGGATGACCCCAAATCCCTGCTTCTAATTTAGCAGCATTTTGAATGAACTTGAATTTTCCTAATTATAAAATCTTCTATAGCACATTTAGAAAATTGTAGTGCAGAAGGTTTCCTTCAACATAGGATCTGGCTAGTATTCCTTAATATAACCTCTCCAAATACAAACCAGAAAAATACACAAACTCACAAGGCTAAGGCTACTAAAAATTGCTCATTAGTCAGGGTCAGGCATAAATGAACACTAATTACAATAACATTGGATCTGATTTAAAGAAACAAAACTAAAAAAGACTACCCAGGGCTATAGTATATCCTAGTTTCATGATAAATTATCACCTGGTAAAAGATAGGAAAATACATGATTCCTTCATCATCTCTGTTGCTAGATATGGAGCCCTTAGAGCACAAAGGTCGCCCGTTAACAGAGACAAGCATGGGTGCTTCACGCATTCTTCCTGAGGCAGGCAGGGCACTGACCAATTTCTTTCCCCCGGCTTCTTTCCCACCAGCCCTTCCAAGCACAGTAAAGAGTAAAACTGTCTCAAACAACACCAACAGCAATAGCAGCCATAAAAAAGTAACTAGGAAGACAGAATAGGAATTCCAGTGCCCTCAGCTGATCTTTGGGAGGCACACATTAAGCTGACTACCAACGACTCAGACCTTGGGAGTGGGAGGAAAACGCTGCACAGCAGGGCAGAAATGCACTGGATATAAAGCCACAAGGATAAGGCATTAGACTGGCTGTGGCACTGCCACTTGCTTGGCTGTCATAGTTCTGTCAAGGGTGGATAGGGAGCAGCCCTCGAGACAAGCCCTCGCTTCTCTGTTATTGGTTACCTGGAGACATTGAGTCCCAGTGGATTCACCTGATAACAGGTGAACAACATAGGAACACACAAATATCAGAGCAAGAAGGAAAGAACAGCCTCACAGGAAGCACACTCTTATGGAAATGAGCTAATGCAAGATGCAAGAGAAAAGGTCATGATCTTTGGCACGCACGTAG